AAGGAAATTGGGGAGATTACATGGGGTCCACATGGACTTTGGAATGGGGCCCGACAACAAGAAGACAATAAAAGACAAATTTTATTTTTTATTTTTTATTTTTTATTTTTATGGGAACTTTCTGGGAAGATGAAAGGACGAGAATACCCCTACAGTTGTTTGTTTAATTTTTCTTTTCTCGGGGATGGTCCACATTTTGTGTGGGGTTTGGATGAGTGATGATTAAAGGGAGGGATGGCAAAGTACTTTGTGTTCATGTTGGCCATTCTCTTTTTCTATTTATATATATATTTTTTGAGAGTTCTGACCGTTTTGCTTTTCGGGTGAAGGATTAAAGTGTTTTGGTGCCTTTTGATGGCAACATGGCCAAAGTTTTGAAAAAGGGCTCAAATAATGTACTAAAAGACATAAATGCCCTTCAATCAATGCCCCCCCTCCATTTTTCTCTTTTGGTCAAATATCATTTTTATTATCATCATCATCATCAAAAAAGAATTTAGTGTGTTTTAATTCTTATTTTATAATTTTTTTGGGAATTTTTAGAATCAAATATAAATATTTTCCCCTTTTCTTTTCAATGGAATAGTTATTGTTTCTATTCTCTCCCTTTCTCTCTCTCTCTTCAATAAATAAAACAAATTTATTTTTAATCATATTATAAATAAATGATTCAAAATAATTGAAAATGTTAAAATATTTTAAGCAACTTAAACATGTTTATATTAAGAATTTATTTGATGAGAAAAAAAAAAAAACAAGAAAATGTGGATAAAAAGAGATTTAAAAAGGTAATCTTTTAAAAAGTGGCAAATCCAAATACTATGACATGGATAGGGAAAAAGATGGCAATAGTGAGACACCTTTATTTTTATTTTTTTTTAATTATTGACAACTTTTTTTTATTTTCTTTTGTGTGTATATATATATATGTGTGTGTGTGTGTGTATTATTTGAAGGTTGAATATTGGTATTTGTGGTGTGGCCCAGGCAATTTAGAGCATAAAAGATTGGTGCATGGGCCTTTTGGATTGACCCCCCTGCCACTCAAACCCAATATAAAGCACTCCCCATTTGAACCCACCAAACAGTCCCCATCCCTGTCTAACACACAATAAAACTGACCAAACCTTGTATCTCAATCATTTTTTTTTTTCACTGTTTTTCAATTCCATAACTCTTTCCTTTTTTTTAGAAAAAAAAAATTTAATTTGAATTAATTTAATTAATTTGTTAAATTAAACTACAAGCTTGAAATATTGAGAAAATAATTTATTTTTCACCGTTAGTAATGGGTAATATATTAAAAAAGAAAAGAAAGAGAGGACTGACAGAATTCAGGAGTAAGTGAAACGGCGTCGTTTTAATGCGTTGGGGGGTAATTTGTATAGACTCAGAGTAGGGCATGAAACTGAAGGAAAGATTCTAGTTTGCTTTATTTATGGTACAATTCTAAACAGCCCTATCCCCCTATTTTACTAATTCCTTTTTTCAATTTTTAATTTTTTTAAATACATTTCATTTTTATTAAAATAATATATTATCCATTTTAATCCAACAATTCACTTTAAAATTACCATAATCCATGCATCCACGTGTCCAAATTATACACCAACTCACGTTAAAGTAAAGGGAATATATTTTAATGTTGAGTTACAGTAAAATTGTAATTTTAGAGAGTAATTTTAAAGTAAGAAGAAAAGGAGGGGGGCTTTGCACTTTGCAGGGTGGGTGAGTGGGTGGTTAATTAATAATTATAAAAGGTTAGGGCTTTTTATCCATCCTTTTTTTACCCCCTTTAATCTTTATTCACTCTCATTTAACTTAATCAATTCTTGTTTCCTTTTCAGCTTTCACGTTCAATATTTACTTTACTTTTCATAAACCAATTATCTTTCTAATACCTTTTCATACTTTACATTTCAATATTAAATTGTTATATAACATAATATCTTTTAAACCTTATTAATACTTCTATAACTAAAATGCATAATATAATCGACTTTTATCTACTCCTGATTTCATCTAAAATATTTCATTTTACTTATTTTCTTATGCTATTTTCTCTTTCTAACTAATGTATCGTGTTGTACTGTTAACATGATATTGATAGATCCCGCATCGTTTGGAGAGAGAAACAAGTGTCAACGAGAATGTTGGGTCTCAAAAGAGGAGATTGTGAGACTCACGTCAGTTTGAGAGGAGAACAAAACATTCTTTATAAGAGTGTGAAAACCTCTCTATAGCATACATGTGTTTAAAAACCTTGAAGTGAAAGCTCAAACTATCGGTGGCTTGCTTGGGTTGCTACAATTTGGGTATTAGAGACAGACACCATGCAGTGTGTGAGTGAGAACTGTGACTCCCATAAGGGAGTGGAGATTGGGCAATGTGTCAGTGATGATGTTAGGCTTCAAAGGAGGCTGGATCATAAGATTTCATATTAGTTGGAGAGAGAAATTGAAATATTGTTATTGAAAACTTCTTACTAAGAGACACGTAAAACAATCCTATCTATTAATAATTGAGTTTTAAAACATGAGAAAGAGAGAGCTGAAATGGCTCGGTAAAAGAGGATATGTCACACGCGTGCACCACCTGGCTCAAGCATTAAAATAAAAGAAAATAAAAATCTTAAAGAAATCGAAAACAAGGAATTAATTGGGGTCATGTGTGGGATATTATATGGAGCTTCGCCACATTCTTATTTAATTCCTTGGGCCATTCCTTTACGCTTTTACCTTCATTTTCTTTTATATTTCCCCCTTTGACCCTCCAAAAAAAATAAAATAAATAAAAACAAATCCACTCCACCACTTTCTTACCAGAAACCACGGAAGCTTTGTTTTTTTTTTTTTTTTAATTTTTTTTTTAATTTAACCCTTAAAAAAAAGAGAAAATTGTAAGTTGTTTATGGAAGTGGGGAGGAGTCGAACCCAAACCCAATGCAGTAGAGTAGGAGAGTGTAATGTTTAGTTTGGGTAGGGGGAGGAACACAATGCATTGTGTGGGAGTAGCACCCAAGAAAAGAAAAGAAAAGAAAAGAAAAGAAAAGAAAAGAAAAGAAAAGAAATGGATGTGGGAACTTAGGCCCCACCACACGCACACATCTTTAATTATGTGTTTCCTTTTGAGCACCAAATGCTTCAAAACTCCACACTTTACTTGGGAAACTCCTTTTTTGTGCTAAACAAACAACCAAAATAAGGTATTGATTTGATTAACTTGGATGATGGAGGAGAATAACAAATCCCAACCTCAAAACCAAACAAATATTGCCCATCTTCCTTCCTTCCAATCCAATACCCACAAACAAAAACCAACACAAAGTACAACAAAACAGCCCCATCCCTCCCCCACCCAACCCCCTCTTTCTCTCCTCTTTCTTTTTTCCACGGTGGGTTCATCATTTCCCGCATTTATTGCATATCCTCGGTGTTTCAGTGGTTCTGTACAAGTAAGGTTAAATGTTTGGATCTCTCTATTATACTTTGCTCCACTACAAAATAAACTGGAATGAATTTTAAGTAAGAGACTATCCCCTAATCCATATCCTAGTCATCACCTTTTGTCTCTTTTGTGGTTGATTTGAGGCTTTGGATCCACTTTTTTTAAATAGATGGCGTGGGGTGAGGTTTGGATTCAAAGTAGATTCGTGTGACTAAAGCATTTAAAGCCGTTTTCTTTTGTGGTCCTAAACCCTTTTATGTTAAACTTGTATTGTATAAACCCTTTTTTTAAGTTAATATTGTGTACATAAAATTTAAAATTTTATACAATAACGGCTAGGGAGATGGTAAATTTGAAAAACAAAATAGGGTATGACGTGGCAGGCTTATGGAAATGATTGCGTGTGAGCTTGCATACACCCAAGCGCAGCGCTGCACTGCGAATGAATGGCTATCAAATCGTCAACCGTAGTAATCATCTCATCTACCATCCCACAAGCAATCACAACCCTCCAAAATTTAATGAGTGCTCATTGCATAATCTGGACACGTGGCCTGTAGGACCCCTTCTTCACCCCCCTCTGTAAGTCGTGGATGTCATCATACACAATCACTACCTCCTCTTCCTACACCGCCACCCCGTCTTCTTTGTCCACCTCACCCACAGATGTAATCTCCTACTTCCCGTTCCATTTTCCTCGTTCTGCTCCCGTTTCTTTCTACCCGTTGATTGAACAAAATAATACTTATCTCCACGTTGTTCAACTTCAATATTATGAGTAGATGGTAATGGTATTGACAAAGAAAACTAGAATTTGCAATTTCAATTGTGTTAGGCGACTCGTACAACTAGGTGTCGGTGAAACCTCTAAGGAGGGTAGCGTAATCAGATCGAGACATGCAATCTTGTTTAATCAACGGATAATGACAATAAATGAAGGATGATACTCTCCTAGCTTAACTCGACTCGAAACTATTTTAATTCAAACACTAGCTTCAACATTGAGTGTGTGGGGGCATAGTGCAATATTGGTATGAGCATGTCTAGCTATATAATTAATTGCTTCCTTTGTTGTCATTCATTCACACAACTAAATCTCTACTTAATTGAGCATTGAATTGAGATGGATGGTTGAAAAGTCATGAAGAAACGTTGATTGTAATGAATTATGAATCTGGTGAAGGTAAAAACAGAAAAGGAGAGAAAGTAGAGGGAAAGAAAGAAGACCGTGGGAAGGGAGCGTTACAAGGGGGGAAGAAACGGCAGGGGAAGGGGTGGAGAGTTGGGGAATTGAGGTAGACGCCATGAGAGTGTAGTTAGCTACCTTAAAAAGATTGATTTTTTAGGGGGGCTTTACCAATTAACAATTGCATAGGGAAAAGGGTCTCAACAAAATTGAAAAGAGAAAGAGAAGGAGAGAGAAGAGGAAGCAGAGCAGGAGAGAGGACTGCAAGTTCGAATTATTCTTCTTCTGTGTATGATTGCTTTTATAAATACTCAGTAGTCTCTTTTGGACTCTCTCTTTCTCTCTCTAATGCCCTTTAATTTATGGTATGTGGTACGTCCCCGAGGCTGCGCGATCAGAACAGAACCGAATTGGAGGATAGAGAAACAGAGTAATTTTTTTTTAAGGGAAAGAGAAAGGATGGATGGTGTGGGGGGGCAGGGGCCTCTTAACCCTTTTACACGTGATAAAGAAAACACCAAAAGCCTCCTTGCATGCGTGTATAAAGCTTCTTCTTCATCATCATCTCTCTTTCTCCACGCCCTTTCTCTTCTTCTTCTTCTTCTTCTTCTTCTTCTTCTCCCCTTTCTCAAATCTTTCACATTAACCCCATTTCCCTCTGTTTTTCTCTCTTGATTTTGGGTTCTTCGAGTTTTGAAACCTCGCTGCTTGATTGGATTTGAGTGGATTGGATTGGATTGATGTTGGGTGAGTTTTTTTTTTAGTGTTTTTGTGTTCTGAAATTCTGGGTTTCTTCCTCTTCTTCACTGGTTCTTCTCGCGGGCATTGAATGGGGCCTGCCCTTTTTTACATCATTAAATCTTTGGGTATCGGATGGATAGTGATTTTACTACCCTTTTCAATGTTTATTCCTTGTCTTTGGATTTGTTCTTGATTTTTGTTTTCTTCTGGATGTTTGTATTCTGTCTCTGCCACTTCCCCGACTTCCATATCTTCCTCTTCCTTTTAATACCATTTCGTGTTTCTTTTATATATACTCCTCTTGCGTTTGTATCTGCTTGGGTTTACTCATCATCCCCATCGAGATTTTCGTTTCTAATAGACAGACAGGACTATGGAAACTGGGTTTGTCTTATGGGTATTCCCGCTCTGGGTTTCCACACGGTTTATTTCTGGGTTTATTTTTTGTCTTGCCTTAATGGAAATTTCGTTCCAGGTTTGGACTCTGGGCTGCCAAACAAGATCTGGGTTTTGAAATTTCGTTTACATTTTTTGGACTCTTCTCCTTGCATTTAGGATGGGGTTTCTTCTGGGTGTGTTTAAAATGAAACGTTTGTTTGGTTGAATTTCTTTGAACATGTTTTCTTCAGGGATATATATATATATATATGCTGAAACAATGGTTTTACAATTTGGGGGGTTTTGTTTTTTAATCAAAGGAATAGTAATCCTTGAAAATGTTAGAAGAAACGGCCAAAGTTTTATCCCGCTTTCAACTTTACTTTGCGTATGAAACAATGAATGTATTTCTCTGTATCATTGTCTCTGTTGTTTTAACCTTTTGAAGAATTTTTCGTCATATTTTTGCTGACATGCAATTTTCCTCTAATGGGTTCTTTTTTTCCCCCTCCGCAGTGGGATGACGTCTTCAATCCGTGAAGAAGAGGGAAGATGAGTTCAGAGTAAACGTGACTGTGAAGAAACTTCATGTTCACCATTTCGTGAAGCTTTTAGCTCATTCTAAACGAGTTCTTGTGACATTGCGAGGGAATTTTTCAGACGGTAAAAGAAACCCACCATGCCAGTACGGCAAATGAAAGAGAGCTCCGAGCAGCACCTTGTAATCAAAACCCACTTGCAGAACTCTGTTCAGAAACCTCAAAAAGCAACCCAAAATGGCAAAGGCCCGCCGAATCTGGAACATCAAAACATCAAATGTCGAAACCCATCTTCTCCTCCGAGCAAAAACAGAGGCAGGAGAAGAAGCCGAGGCGGCCGGAAATCCGATCAGGGGGAGGTTTACATGAGACCCAGTTCTCGGCCCTGCACAGTGGCGCGTAAACCAGATGAACCGGAATTTAACGCCGGAGATCTGGTGGCAAGAACTAATCCAAATGGTGGTAACATTTGTGGAATGGAAATGGGTTATCGAAATTCAAGCAAGTCCTTGAGTTTTGCCCCAAGGCCTGGATTCGGACAAGTTGGGACAAAATGTATTGTGAAAGCAAACCATTTCTTTGCAGAGTTACCAGACAAAGATTTGAATCAATATGATGTAAGCAAACTATGAGCTTAACAGTGTTTTTTTCCCCTCTGCGTTCTAGTTCCATGTGCTTACAGCAGCAGACATATGTTTTATTTGTTCCTTAACAACTGGGGAGGGGGAAGGGGAGGGGGAGGGGGGGCTATTTGCTGTTGTATCGCAGATGAAAATGAATAATTTTCTCTTTTCGTCATGTCCTTTTCTCAACGTAAATAGCTTCATTTTTGTTCTTTTTGTCTGCTTGACTTGTTACTTTTCTTCCCCTTTTTCATTTATTCATTGATTTTTGTTTTCCCGCCGTTGGGTGTGGGGTTCTACAGGTCACAATTACTCCTGAAGTGGCATCAAGAACTGTGAACAGAGCCATCATGGCTGAATTGGTGAGATTATACAGAGATTCTGAGCTGGGAAAAAGATTACCAGCTTATGATGGCAGAAAGAGTCTGTATACAGCTGGTGAGCTTCCTTTTGTATGGAAAGAGTTTAACATCAAGCTTGTGGATGAAGAAGATGGAGTCAGTGGTCCCAAGTAAGAATTTACGCTTCTAACACTGCCTCTGTTTTTTCTCTGCTCCCTCTTCAATTCATTACTTTTACTTCCTGTCTTGTCAATTTCTTGTATTGTATCTCTTCATTATCAAACTTATCCAACCTAAAGCTTTCAACTCATGGCCTTTGTTTTCATCTCATTCAACTAATACAATTGTGAACATTAAACAAAAATTCAGGAGGGAGAGGGAATATAAAGTGGTTCTTAGGTTTGTTGCTCGTGCAAATTTACACCATTTGGGTCAGTTTCTGGCGGGTAAGCGTGCCGATGCTCCACAAGAAGCTCTTCAAATACTGGATATTGTATTGAGAGAGTTGTCATCCAAAAGGTTCAAAATCGATCGTGTTTATTTGTTATGATTTTCGTATAACGACATGCTCATACTTGAAGTTCTGTTTTTCTCATCGTAGTTGTATATCGTGTAGGTACTGTCCTATAGGGAGATCCTTCTTTTCTCCTGATATTAGATCACCTCAGCGGCTAGGTGATGGGCTAGAATCATGGTGCGGGTTTTACCAAAGTATAAGACCCACTCAAATGGGGCTGTCTCTTAACATTGGTACATAGAAACTTACTGTTAAAGCTTTGCACTGCGATTTTTACCTATTTTACTCCAAGAGATTTATCTTAGTATTCTTTTCATTCTTTTGTTAATAGATATGGCTTCAGCTGCATTCATCGAGGCTCTCCCTGTCCTTGAATTCGTTGCTCAGCTACTAGGGAAAGATGTATTGTCCCGGCCATTGTCTGACGCTGATCGAGTAAAGGTGCGCATCTTTATCTGATTGTGTGCTTTTCCTGTCTCATCGTCGTTCTTGAGTGTAATTTAACTTGGAACACAAAACAGATTAAAAAGGCTCTTAGGGGGGTGAAAGTTGAAGTAACACACCGGGGAAATGTAAGGCGGAAATATCGAGTTTCGGGTCTGACATCACAGCCTACACGAGAATTAGTGTAAGCTTGAAAATTCGTATATATGTACTTGCAATGTCTACCTGTTGTTCATATGTGCATTGCTAATGATACACTCCTTTGTCAGATTTCCTGTTGATGACAACTCAACCATGAAGTCAGTTGTTGAATACTTCCAAGAGATGTATGGCTTCACCATTCAACACGCACATCTCCCTTGCCTTCAAGTAGGAAACCAGAAGAAGGCGAATTACTTGCCAATGGAGGTACTTTTTAATCCTTCCCCTGTTATGATTATAGTAAAAATCATTCTAGGCCTTATTGAATCCCTCAAAATGAGATTTAAACACTGAAGTTTGGGTCAAATCTTGTTGAACACTTGCGTTTGCAGGCCTGCAAAATTGTTGGGGGGCAAAGATATACAAAGAGATTGAATGAGAAGCAAATAACTGCACTTCTAAAAGTCACGTGTCAAAGACCGAGGGATCGAGAAAATGACATTTTGCAGGTATTATTCGAATCATTTTGAGAGCTAGTTACTTGACTTTTTTAGTGGGCTATTGTTATAAATCGACTTTGAAAGAACTCGAACTTCTCGATCCTACCACTATAAAACGGTCTAGTGATCGATGTCTGAAAGCAAGCATGTCCATTAGGTAGTTTACACAAAGTAAATTGCAATAAATTCGTTACATTATGTCTTGGATCTTTATCTGATTGTCGGAATAACAGTTTCTTGTCTTGTCCCTTCAAACTTTGGTAGACTGTTCAACATAATGCTTATGATATGGATCCTTATGCCAAGGAGTTTGGGATTAAAATCAGTGAAAAGCTGGCTTCTGTTGAAGCTAGAATCCTCCCTCCTCCCTGGGTATGCATTTCCCCTTCAAATTCCATGTTATTCACTAAGTTAATGAATATAGTCTTGTCTTGCTTACCCTGACATCAATTTCACGATGAACCCATGCAGCTCAAATATCATGATACTGGAAAAGAGAAGGATTGCTTGCCTCAAGTTGGTCAATGGAATATGATGAACAAGGTATGGCCTTATTAGATATATCTCAGTTCATTAATTTACTTGAACACCAGCTTATTATATGAGTTCGTTTTAATGCAGAAAATGATTAACGGAATGACTGTTAATCGGTGGGCGTGCATCAACTTCTCTAGGAGTGTACAAGAAAGTGTTGCTCGTGGGTTTTGTACCGAACTTGCTCAAATGTGTCAAGTGTCTGGAATGGTATATTTGCGCTGGTTCATTCTTGATTCTTCAAGATTAAGATGTTTTATTTCATTGACTCACAATGTGATTATATTATAGGAATTCAATCCAGAACCTGTTATTCCAATATACAATGCCAGGCCAGAACAGGTAGAGAAAGCTTTGAAGCATGTGTATCATGCTTCCATGAACAAGACTAAAGGGAAAGAGTTAGAGCTATTATTAGCTATTTTACCTGACAATAACGGGTCACTTTACGGTGAGCTGATACCCTTATTTTTCTAATAAATCGATCAGAAAATGAAGTAGACCGTCCGTAGTGATATATTTCTCTGATTTGTAGGTGACCTTAAGCGAATTTGTGAAACCGATCTTGGTTTAATATCACAATGCTGTCTTACGAAACACGTGTTCAAGATTAGTAAGCAGTACCTTGCTAATGTGTCACTGAAGATCAATGTCAAGGTATGATTCTGCTCCATAATCTTGTACAAATAAGAGTCTTATCTTCTCCAGCTTTTGGATGAAAGTGGAACCGACACTCCTGTAATATTGGGGAACTGCTCGTCTGGTCTGAAGGACTCGATCACGCTTTACTTATCCAATAACGAAAACCATCCAATCACTTCGGATTCTAACGTATGCTGTTTGCTTTCCAGATGGGTGGTAGAAACACTGTTCTTCTAGATGCTATCAGCTGCAGGATACCGCTTGTGAGTGACATACCAACAATAATATTTGGAGCCGACGTGACCCATCCAGAGAATGGCGAGGATTCCAGCCCTTCAATAGCTGCTGTACAGTCTCCTAGTTACTGATAAAATCGAAGTCGTCTTCATTCCACATTTCTGGTTTGCGTTACTAATGGAAGTTGAATCCAATGCGCAGGTAGTAGCCTCCCAGGATTGGCCTGAAGTGACTAAATATGCTGGACTAGTATGTGCTCAGGCTCATAGACAAGAACTTATACAAGATTTGTACAAAACTTGGCAGGATCCTGTCCGTGGTACTGTCAGTGGTGGCATGATCAGGTGAGATCTTGTTCGTTCTAGATTATGTTAACTTATACATTGAGCGTAAACTCTTCGTCGAGTCGAATATTAACGTATACAATGCCGATTGTTGTCACAGGGATCTTCTGGTTTCCTTTAGGAAAGCAACAGGGCAGAAGCCTCTCAGAATAATATTTTACAGGTAACCACTTCCATCTTTCATGTAATTTTGACGGCATGGATACCTAAATTAGTGTTTTGCTTCCGTTTGTTCCCATTATTTGTGAAGTTTACACATGCGAGCTGTCTTTCCAGGGATGGCGTAAGTGAAGGACAATTCTACCAAGTATTACTTTATGAGTTGGATGCAATCAGGAAGGTAAGAGTTGATGAATTCTCAGCCTCTTTGTTTTTGTTTCTGACCATTTTTTTAATAATTAGCACCCTTTTGGTATAGGCATGTGCTTCTTTAGAACCGAATTACCAACCACCTGTAACGTTCATTGTCGTCCAAAAACGACACCACACACGATTGTTTGCCAACAACTATCGGGATAGAAGTAGCACAGACAAGAGTGGGAACATTTTACCTGGTACTGTTCAATCCGTGTTACTCGATCACTTATCCTGTCTCTGATGTGGGAGTTGAGTTGTTAATCTTCGTTTTTCAGGCACTGTAGTTGACTCCAAAATATGTCACCCAACAGAATTTGATTTCTATCTCTGTAGCCATGCTGGAATTCAGGTATTGACCTCTTGGTATTTTGAACTGAACTATTAGTTCATAGTCTTGATTCAGACAAGCTCATTTTGTTGCAGGGGACAAGTCGGCCAGCACACTATCATGTTCTTTGGGATGAAAACAATTTTACTCCTGATGGAATTCAGTCATTAACGAACAATCTTTGCTACACGTATGCAAGGTGTACACGTTCGGTTTCTGTTGGTAAGCCAGCTTTATTTTATTACTTTTTCTGTTCATGAGTTCGACTCAGATTTCATCGTAACATATTCGATGTTCTGAAGTTGCTAGTTTTGGCATTCATGTAGTTCCTCCAGCATACTATGCACATTTAGCTGCATTCCGAGCTCGATTCTACATGGAGCCAGAAATGCAGGAGAATGGCTCAGCTGGTCGTTCTGCCAAGAGCACACGCGCTACTGGAGAGTCTGGGGTTCGACCTTTGCCAGCTCTGAAGGAAAATGTGAAAAGAGTAATGTTTTACTGCTAGAAATCGGAACCAGCAACAAAGGAGAGGGTCGTAGTCAGAGCTCGAGCTATGACGGGAAACTTGACTCTTCCTGTTGCTCTGCCTTATGTTCCTTTGTAAATGAATCATCATCATCATCATCATCAATGTGTGGTGGGTTCACATGTGTTACAAATATAGGTTGATGATTTTAGTTGTGGAGTAAATGTAGAGTTGGTTAGTTGGTGAAGAGTTTTACTTGGGTTTACTGCTGTTGCACTAAGTGTCAAAATCAAGCCATAGATGACAGGTTTCTCTTCTCACCCACATTTGTAAAGAGCTGTTTTTTTCCATAATGAATCAGTATAGATGTGTTGGAAATTTCTGTCTCACAAACTTGGCTGAGTGCCCGAATTATATACCCTCGATGTGTAAACATGAACCGTTCAACATTTCCGGCTAAAAGTTGAGCTCTACGGTCGCAATCCCGTCATCAACTTTTAGACAGCTAACTTGTCTAGACGGCCACATCTGCTCCTTATTTTTGCTTTGAGATCTCTTCACAAGAACTTAACGTTGTCTGGGACTGTCATCAGGAACAACGATTGCTCTCTGATTTCCAAGTCTTTGTTGACATGGAATTTCGTTCAACTGCTGGACATGGGCAAGATTTTCCAAATACTTTGAGGTCATTACGGTGACTGTTAATAGCTAATAAATATTATTTTCGTTGAGATTTTCTTTTAAATTTTCCCCTGACCCTTTTAATACGTTTTAAAATTTTTGGAATGAAGCCAAAGTAGGATAATATCTGCTAGCGGTAGCGGTGGATTACAAATGATATCAGAACCAAACACTCGCGATGTGTCAATAAGGAAGCTGAGGCTTGAAGGGGGGCAGACACAAGACGGGGTCCTAAAATGGGGTGGATTTGGAGGGGGGTGTCCCACATCGATTGGAGAAGGAAACGAGTGCTAGCGAAGACGCTGAGCTCTGAGGGGGAGGAGAACTTGTGAGATCCCACCTAAGTTGAGGAGGAGAACAAATTTACAAGAGTGTAGAAACCTCTCCCTAGAAGACACGTGAGAGAAAGTTTGAAATGAAAAGTAAAAAAAAGAAATAATATCTTGCGGTGAACTTGTTCTACAACGACATTCGCACTCACCCACAAGTTAGCCAACTCAAACAAAAGTTATCAATGCTACGCCTGGTTTGTATTGTGATTACCCACACGAGAAAATAATTATAAAAAACTTGGTAAGAGAAAATGTTATGATAAGTGATATGAACCGAATATGAAAGGAAGATTGACTTCATTTATTCTTAAATGGTTACATATTTTAGATAGAAGATAATTTAGAATTATAATGTCTCAATAAGGTATATTAAGATTTTTTTTATTTACTTCTTACATTTACATATTAATTATGGTCAGAAAGTGACGAGAACTCCGAGGTAGGTTAAGATTTTATAGCTGTCTTTTTTGTTTCTTCCCAGTCATAGATCGCATGTTAATATAATTTTGATCTGATCTTATTTTATGGAGTCATTCAAATCTTAATCAAATCTCAATTTCAAAAATGCTTTTAGACGGAGTAATTCAAACCTTTGGGTGATTTCTTAGGGTTGGATTTACTTAGATTGCCTAAGTAATTCAAACTTTTGGGTGATTTCTTAGTGTTGGATTTACTTAGGGAATATTGATTAGACAGTTTTAACATTTGTGAATTGAGCTCACATATCACGAGAACTCTTATATTTAAGAGACTAGAGTTGCAATATCTATAAGTCCAATAACTGGTGCAAGTCTACAGGTTTTCAAATTCATGACAAGAACTCCTATATTTAAGAGACTAGAGTTGCAATATTAATCATAAACTAACATTTGATATTGATTTTAAGACTTATTAAAGGTATTAAGGACCATTTGGACTCAATTTAAACCAAACTTAAATCAGCTACTGGAATTCAGGAATTAAAATAAATTATTTATAGACGCATTCATAAATTCATAAGTTGTAGTATTTGGTATTAATCTTAAGAGTCAATCGATATTTTCAACGTATTATAAAATATCATGCACACTTTTAGATATCATATATATATATATATACACACAGGATGATATATTATACCTTACTCAAGGAATATGAAATACATATATTTTCTTAATTTTTATCAATTTTTTGGTTTCAGTCTTTTTTTTTTTTTTTTTCTAAAAATGTGTATGATATCATTGATATGTTCATGGACACTTAATGGAGAGGTAGTACATGGACTCGTCACCACCAACACAATAAAGAGCACATAACTTCAGTTTGCTTAGATGGAGTGAGTTTGTTTAATCCTAAACTCACAATTTTCAAAGTAAGAATTGATTTTTGTAGCTGATTCAATATGTCTATTCATTTTGTGAATTCAACTAAATAGAGAGTTTTCAACTTAAATTCCTCTAAGGTTAGAAAGTTTGAAGCTTAAACAATTGAGTCTTATTCTTGGATATGATTCATTAGGATTATAAATAGATGGTTCATTAAATGACACCTCTACAATGGATTTTTTACTATCAAAGTTGAAGAAATTGCAAGAAATTGTACTCCATTCATGTTCCCAAGTAAGATATTTTTGTAGAAGTACATACACTATGCAACATGGTCTTCCAAACAGTACCAAGGAAGAAATAAAAACAACCCTCGTCCTGCCCACACTATTCACCAATATACCTCTCTTTTGTGAAACCTAAGGGGGCAAAAAGAAGAATCAAGTTTTGCTTCAGAGGGCTACTTTTCGTAGGCAGCCTGAAATGGCATCTACAAAACCCAGTGCCTACTACTCACACACTATCAAACTTCTCTGCATGGACAAATCCTTGTTCAACCCCTTACAGATTCATACCAAAAATAAGAGAGTAAATGGATCGATCATTAGGATTTAGGACACTAATTGAAAAGGATTAAGGTAATTAATTAAGATGGTAATGAAATCCAATCCAAAAGGTGTCTGTCATCTTCTTAATCACAGGCTTTAGGCTTACCTTTATGTATTGAGATACGCCGGGATCATGAGTTTGGTGAACAGTTGTTTTAAAGCCGTTAAAACTGGTGCTATATTATGACTTATCATCCAGTTCTTTGCAGAAGGATAGTTAATGCTCAATTTCTTCTGTTTCTCTCTCTCTCTCTCTTTCTTAAAGAGACCAAAGAGATAAATTCAGAACATGTGAAAATACTGGAGGGCATCAATCCCAAAAACAATATGAAACAGACAAATAGCAACTCCAGAAATCTTAATAATTAGGGTCACTCTTGCAGAATCTTTCCTTCAGAAAAACACCCTTTCTTTTTCCTCAACCAACTCAGACCGAATCAAAATCCAATAATGAGAAGGAAAAAGAGAAAATGCTTATGGCGAAGTAAAATCTTACCCATATCAGACCTAGCTGGAAAGAGCTTAAAGATAAACCCGCCGCCATGATCAGAAGCTTTGAAGGAATCACAAACCCTAATTTCTGCCAGAGATGCAAAGAATACAGATGAATCCAACAGTGAAAAGGAATTTTAATCATAACCAACTAGAAAGAAACAAGAAAAAGGATCACATACCTCAATTATGAAGGGGATCGAACCAAACGGAAGGTCAATGAGGTGAAAATTAGGGCTAATTTTTAGGGATTGCGGGTTCCGTTGTGGATGAGAAGGCAAAGCAACAACAGGTGAAACTGCCATATGATCTGATCTTTCCTCAACCATGAAAACAAAACAAAAAAAAGGAGAGAAAAGTTAAGATCATGCTGGCAGCTTCAACTGGTAGTGGTTCACCATAATTGGAAGGGCGGGCGAAATGAGAAATGAGAAAACCCAGATTAATTCTAGGGTTTGGGATGGAGAAGCAAGAGGTGGAAGAAAATGGGTATAAATAGAAGAAGAAAAATAAAATAAATAAATAAATAAAACAAAAAGATTTATTTGAATTTAAAAAAATAATAATAATAAAAAAGGGTGGTCCCTTGTTGAAAGTTTGTAACCCCAAGTGGGTGTAAATTGAATATTATCACGCCAAGACTACACCTCATGCAGGTCAGCTCTTTTGCAGAAGGGCTTAGTGGGCGTTTCTGCATTAATTAGCCTTTCAACCCTATTTTACCTCTTTTACTCTTTCTCTCTCTAGCTTTCACACACACACTGAGCAAGTGATTAATTACACTAATTCACCATTAACCAAACCTTCTTTCACACAACAATCCAAACACCAAAAACAATACAAATACCACCCTTTTTGCATGCCGAATAAGGGTATGGATGGAAACCTCCCTCTTGTAGGCATATTTTAAAATCGTAACGCTAATAACGATACATAAAGAATCAAACCAAATAATATTTACTAGCCATGAGTTTGAGCTATTACAAATGGTATCAGAATCAGACAAGACGCTAGTCTCCAAGGGGTGGATTGTGGAATCGCACATGAGATCATTTGTTATAAGAGTGTGGAAACCTCTCCTTAGGCTCATTTTAAAACCACAAAGTTGATGGTGATACGCAACCAGCCAAAACATACAATATTTTAATTAATTAAAGACGTTTGATTTATTTTTTGAATTTTTTAATCCCACGCGAATATAAATGAAAAGCATAAGTTATAGATAGAAAAGGTTTATGAAAGAGTAGCTTTAAGAATATGTTTATTATTTTTATAGTAAATTTGTAGGGTAGATGGATAATGCATCTTTTTATATAATATATATATATATTCATAAACAGAGTCACAATCATGGTAAAATTAGGATGTAAAAGCAAAAGAGGGGTTTTTATTTAAAGATCAAGGGGAAAGGTGATGTGGGAAGTAATTAATGCAATTACTTTAATAGTTACTGTTACTGCATGCACTACTCTAGAACCTACCTTCTTCTTTTCACTCTATATCTTAAATGAAAATTAATCCAAATCAAACTGTAATTATCATTAATGTTTATTATAAACTGTTTATGATATTGTCTACTAAGAAATTAGATTAAGAATTATGGACCATTCTAAACTCAAGTTAGGAAAAGATAAATGAGGTTGATAAGAGCATTATTAATAATTGACTGATCTACGAAAGGAACTGATGAATGAATAGACTTTCCCTTTTTAATTTTCGGAATGTGATTAAGGATACAATGAGAGTTTGCGTGCCTCGGTAGGAAAGAAATTACTGGAGTATAGTACAAGATCGTCTTTTCTTGCTGTCATGGGGTCCACCTATCGACAAGGTGTCGAGAGACTTGCTTGCATACTTCTAACGAAGATACCTCAATGAGATGCTGAGCATTATTCGAGAAAGTTAATAAAGCTTTAAATATTAATATTTTAAAGAAAAATATATATATTTTAGTAAATAGCATTAAAGGGAATGGAAATTTTGATTCTGATTCATATTCTTTTGAAGTAAAGAGGATTGGTTTTTTTACTTTTGTTTAAAAAAAAAAAAAAAAAAACTATTTTTAAGAATTAATAATACGAAGATAAACTTGTAAAGGCTATTATTGTATATTAAACCATAGCTCATAACCCTTACTTTTTGGGGGAAGGATTCCTATCATGATTTGTTTCAAAAAGAAGGCATTCAATAATGGGCAATCTTAAAAGACAAGCCGTTGCCATGTCCCGGTCTCAATTTTTAATGATATATTCAAATTAACACACGACTCTCCACAATAATATGGATATTGTCTACTTTGAGCATAGGCTCTCATGGGTTTGCTTTAGGCTTCCCAAAAATGTCTCACATCAATGAAGAGTGTATTCTTTGATTATAAACCCACGACTATTTCCTAAATTAATCGATGTGGGACACATTCATCCAACACCTCCCCTCGAGCACACAGTATTATTGATTTTGTGTCACTTAATTTTAATTTTCATAAAAATAAAGAAAAAAAAGAAAAACTAGTGAAGAAGTGAAATTGAGGGGGTAGCATAAGTTATTTGATTGTGGGCCTGGGCCCATTACGAGTTTCCAGAATACGAAATAGAAGAGGTTCAAGATCCCAATATTTCCCAATTTCTTTATATCTTGGGTACATATTTTGATGCATAGGCACGCCAAATCGGAACAATGGATCTCACAGATCCCTTTACCTTTAATAGCCACACCTACAACTTACACCCTTTACTATTTTATTCCACTATCTCTCTATACCATTTTTTACTATGTAAATACTAAGATTTAAAAATTTTTACATTTTTCAAAAGATAAAAAGTAAAAAACTCAAGAATTGAACAAAGTCAATATATATTTTTTATGAAATTAGTGTAATCAATTTGATTGTATGATGATTAAAGTAAAAGTTGATGATTAAAAATAAAAGCATGTTTCTTTTTCAGTACAATAATTATATTAAAATAAAAGGAATTATGAGATTAAAATGCTTAATAAATAGGTGGCTGTGGCTGTAGGTTTTAGAAATAGCAAAAAGTTGATCCAAAATATGGAAGCTTACAAGACATTGTAGCAACCATTTGTAGAGACAATAAATGATGAAGTGGTTTGATTAGTGGCATTTTGGACATAAAAGTTATTGTCAACTTTAAGGGAGTGTGAAAGGAGAAAGGGAATCAGAATGAAGGAATAAAAAATGAAAGGGGATTCCCAACAAAACCTATGGAGGCTAGGACGTAGAGGGTCATTTTCTTAATGGTGGGTGTCGCAGGAATAAGGGGGTTTTTTTGTACGCAAATACAGTGGTCCTTTCCCTTGTCAACAGACTGGACTGTGTGCTTCGAGGAGGCAATGGCAAACCCAACCCTTTTTTTTTTTTTTTCCTCTCTTACACATAGAATAATGATGCACTATTATCATAGCCTTTTATTAAACAATTTGAGGCCTTCAGTCCTACCTAACATTTAGGGTACCCTTAGCCTCAAGATTCCTATTCAGAATACTCTCCGTGTGTCAGTTTAATGCTTGTTGTAAAGAAAAGTCGGCCACCTTTCTCTTTTTTCAGCCAAATGTTTTGATGTGGATTGGCATTACACCACAGTGATGGAGCCTGCCTGCCAACTCCATGTGATCCCAAGTGCTTCAAACTAATTTAACAATGCCAATGCCAATGCTTCTCAAACATAGGGTTATTTAATCCATATCCATCTAGATCCATAACCCAACTATGTCCCATATAGTTAGCATCATCTTATGAGAGAAGAGGAGGTAATGATTTGAATAAACAATCTCAGGCTACTCCTACTTAATTGTACAACACTTCGAGACCTACCAAATGAAGGGAGAGATAAAGAGGACTGAAGGAGAGAAACATTACATATCAGCATGGACTTCAAGGAACCTACATAAAGCTAAAATGTCAATGCAACAAGCTTCTCATCGACAGTTAAAGAAAGCATGTCAATGCAACTTGCCTTTTCAAGGACAGTTGAAGAAAGCATGGTCAAAATAATTGATAATAAGATTATGTTGAAGCCATTAATGAGGTACAACTAGTGAGGATTCCACGTTCATTAAAGCAACCTCAAGTTCTATCAACATCAAATCAATGTCACAATTGATTCTTCCCTCTTGTCTAACGAGGCAAAGCACCTAACAATATATCTTCACAGACCAAGAACTACGAGATCGTCCCTTTCATTCTAGGGTCTAATAAGGCAAAATACCTAATGATATATCTTCATAGACCAAGAACGATGAGATCGTCCCTTTCATTCTGGAGTGATGGAGAGATCGTACCGGTTGAGCTTTTTTTTTTCATGCTTTTTCTGAGGTCTGGAGAAAGCTCCCATCAATAGATTGGACGGAGTTAAATTTCCCTGGAGCGATGGTGGATTTTAAATACATTACAATTAGATATTCTATCTGATTACTTGGCCACTGTATCCTAAATCAATCTGTGAGCCTAACTATTCTGGGGGCAAAAGGCCCTACCTACCTACTACAAGGATTCAGGAAAGCTAATGCAAACATTCTAGGGCTTCAAAATTTGGGATTAAGGTTATGGGGTGTGAGAGGGTATCAATTTCATGTAGCTAGGTGTTGTAAAGGTTTAACTTTGGCTGTGTGCTCGAGCAAAATTTTGTAGAGTTCTTCAGCTGTTGGTCGGGCATTCGGGTTTTCCTTAGTACATCTATGAAACATGTCGATCTAGAATCCTGTAGCTTCTTAGTCTTTCTCTGAAGCATCTGTCCTTGAACAGATTGAGACATTGAGCTTTCCTTTATCGACCCCAATGCCTCCTCAAGCTCACCTATCAATTCTGGTCGTTTGCCCATCTGCTCAGATTGAGAAAACAATTGTTGATCAGGGAACATCCTACACCTTCAAATATTGAATCTAAATGACAACTGCACTTTCAAAAAAAGGTGAGAGATTCAAGCATGCTGTGCCAAATTCTTTTTAAATGGTCCTGGGACATGGGAATCTAAATCAAGAATAGAAGAGACCTGAAGTTGATCGAAGATTTGCAAAGTCCCAAGTATGGAATTCGCAAGGTCAACAGTTCCAATAACAGACATCCAAACGACCAAATATCCACTTCCTGCAACCAAAGGAAAGAATGAATATCATCCAGTTATCGACATCATGACAACTTGCGAACATAATTGCATAATTAAATGCAAATGAGGTGCGAAAATAAGACAACATCAACTTCTACACTAGTTCGCAAAAGTGAACTGGAGAATAACAGGACTGAAGCAGAATGATCTCCAAATATTTGAGAAGCTTGGGCGACCCAAAAACACTAGTCTGTTTAATCCTCAGCTAAAGATATGCTTATCCCATCCCCACACGTCGCTCCTTCCTAGTACTGCCACCTACAACTCCCGTTAAGTACTTGCCTAAAGGTTTTACAGGCAAAAGGCAATATTACCCCCTGGCT